GCGGGCGGAAGCAACACCCGGAGCCGGAGCACGGGCCGGGTCGCGGAGCGGCTGCTGGCGGCGGCCCCGGCCTGCGCCCCCACCCGGGACCCGGGCTCGCGGGGGGAGCCGCGGCGCAGCTGCCGCGGGGGGCGGCGTGAGAGCAGCCAGCGTCCTCACGCTCTCGCGGAGGCCCGGAAGGGCGGCCTGGCCCTGCCCACCCTGCTCCGGGGCTGCCTCTCCGGCCCCAGCACGCCCGGCGCCCCGCGCGAGCTCCCCGCGTGCACTGGGCCCGGGGCTCCCGAGGAGGATCGCAGGGCCAGACCCGATCTGCAGTCCACCCCACCCTGCCGGCGCCACGCCGCGCGGCCACCCAGCCCTGGCGTACCCGAGGGAAGGCAGCGGGGCTCGGGACGCCGGGCCTCACGGAGCGGGCGCCGGGACGTGCTGTGCCCACAGGCGTCGCCGCGTGCGGGAGGCGGCTCGGGGATAAAACGCCGGAGACGTCCGAGGCCCGGCAGGGTGCAAGTTGAGCTCAGCGCCCTCCCGCAGCAGTCCGGCCCGGACGCCAGAAAACAAGGGGTCATTTTTATGTTTTGCGGGCCGCGTCTCCCTCCTTCCTACTCTTCCTCCTCCCCACTCCAGTCCCCGCCCCGGAGCCGGTTAAAGTTAAAGCCAGAATTTGTGCCTCCTTTTTATTGATTGCCTAGCTTCCCTTCGTTCCTGGTGCAAAGTGCTTTATTACAAGGCATTAGCATATTAATAAAGGGAAGGGGAGAGGGCCTTGGAATTTACAAGCAAAGCTGGAATAATTGGATTGCATCACGTACTAAAAGATAAGCCTGTGGGAGAGAACCGTTTCCACTATTTTTTTTTTTTTTTTTTTTTTTTTTTGTGCCGGGGATCGAACTCGGGTCCTTGCGCTTGTACAGCAGGCGGCAAAACCACTGAGCTAAATCCCTGGCCTGTTTCCACTATTCTTGCCCCGCGCAGCCCGCCCTCTGCACCCAGGGAAAACACCGGGGCTGGGGTGAGGTGGGGGCATGCTGGTCTGCGGGGCGCAGGGGATGCTGGCTGCATCGCAGGGGTGCTCGGGGTGGGCACCTCGGGTGTGGAAAAGATTCGCTGCATCAACTCAAGGTTGGAGTCTTTAAGACAGTGGGGTATCTCATGCTGCAAAAGGTAGGAAGGTTGTCAGACTGAAATACTCCACAAATCCAACCCTGGTTCCTGTCATGTCGAAGCCCGCATTGTAAAAATCTCTTTGGAAAACTAAAGCTTCTGAACTCCCCGGCCCAAGCAAATCAGATATATTATCCTTAGGTTGGATATGGATTGCCTAGGAATTATAGCCTTTTGACACAAACCAAGATTCAAATGTCTTAAAAGTATTTCAGCTATGGCATTATATAGTACAAGGAATGCACAATAAAATCTGCACAGTGATATATCTGGTATTTCTAAAGAATCAGCACAAGTTTTGCTAAGGACTAAGAAATATAAAAATATTGCGCCCTCTAAACCAACTGTTGTCTATTTATCTCTGCATGGTTATTGTGCTGTTTCAGAAGACATTCGGGAACTAGGGCTCATTGTTTATTAGGGTCAAGGAGACCTAATCCTAAGAAACCCGAGGTCTTGAAATAACCACTAGGGGGCCCTATAGGCATCGCAAAGAGGAAGCCGGAAAAGGTGCTCTCACCTGGGGAAAAACCTGGACCCATTTTCTGTGCCCCTCGTTGAAGTGGGTCTGAAGATAAGTTAGGAGCATGATATGGAGACGGGTTTCATGTTTGAAATACCTGGTGAGTCCAAGTTTGACTCAGGAGCCCAGAATTTCTTTTCTCACCTCTAAAAAAGGAATAAAGCCAACGCAATGAGTTCTACCTTTCCAGACAGGACCTACTTTCCTGAGGTGTGAGGACTCTGCTGGAGGTTTTGTACATTCTTCCAGAGCTCGCTGGTTGGATGGTGGAGCCCCCTGCCAACTTAGGTGCTGTCAGGCCAGCTGCAGGTGCACAACACCCTGCAGAGTCCTGGTGACCCCACCTGACCAGGGCCCCTTTGCTTGGTGTGGGTCCTGGCCAGGTAGGCGGTGTTGGTGGCCGAAGAGGTGGTGGAGACAGTGATGATGTAGAGCAGGCGTCTGGGGAGTCACACGGCGGGAGCTCCCTGGAGGGCTGATGAGCCAGTGTGGACGGTTGCAATGTCGTGACAATAGTGTTCGATTTGTCAATACAACTGAATAGGAGAGTGGATCCTTGAGGAGGATCAATATAGCTTCAGTATCTAGCAATCAAATTGTCAGGGCTTTGGAACCCTTCTCAGTCACATAATATCTTTGCGGTTAGTAAGGTTAAGACTCCCTTTATGAGGGCGAAGAATGCATACAGCAGCACTCAAGTAGCACAGACAGGAGAAGCCTAATTTTCTTCCACTCAATGCTGGCTGGAGAAATGTCTGTAAAAATACTCTATCTAGACACGTTTCAAGTGAAAATTTAAGCACCAGGCATGGAGCATTCCTCTGTCATTCAGGCCAATAAGCAAAAGACATTGCTAAGCAAAACAAAATACCTGCATCAGGGCCAAGTAGGAAAGGGGCCACTTGCTACGTGAAGAATTAAAGAACATTGCAAAAGCCACCAAATTAACACGAATGGGAGCGTGATTTAAACATAATTTAACTGAAAACAAAGCAAGTCCAGAGTTGAGACATGAAACAGGGAATGGGGTTACATCTTTCTTTGTGGAATGGAAAATATTTCATGTTCACATCATCATGTTCATTAACCAGGCTGGATACAGGTGTTCTCAAAATAGAATTATTAACTTCAGAAAGACTTGCCACCGCCAACCTCAGAGCCAGCTAATTAGAACAGATTCAGCTGTAGCTAGAAGAGCCCATTGGCTTTAGGGAAGAGGGTTTGTTCACTCACTGGCTGTGAAAGCCCCTCTGAGTAAAGCCTTGCCAGGCCTATAGCTCCCTGATCACCTTATCATAAAACACTGAACTGGGGAGGCAGGGAGGAAAAATTCAATTCGAAAGAGGTCGACCTAAAAGGCAAAGTGAGCTCTTCCTCTCAGGTCCTGGCCCCCACGAAGGAAGGGGACCTCGAGCTTGTGGGCGTGAGACCCCCAGACAGAAGTAAAAAAAGAATTCCAACGTGGGTAAAGGCACCAGCGTCCTGAAATGGAAAATGATAGTGTACACCTTTTGGAGCTTGCAGGTGAGAAGCTCTGTTTAAAGAAAGGCAGTTACAGTTGCATAGATCTTTTTACAGTTTTTACCCTTCTTTTTCCTCCCCTGTATTTAAGAGAACTCTAGCCCAAGACATCTCAGACCAGAATGCACAGGAAGATCGCCTGGGGAACTTGCTGAATTGCAGAAGCAGCTTCAGTAAGTCTGGGGTGGGGCCTGAGAGTCTGCTTTTTAACCAGTTTCTGCCTCTGACTATATCCTAGTAGGAGTATGAGTTACTTTCCCATTCCTAACACCTGACACCCACAACTCAAAGGAGGAGGTTTAATTTGGTTCATGGTTTCAGGGGGCTCAGTCCATGGTCGGTTGGTTCCGAGGCAGGAACATCATGGCAGAAGAGTGTGGAGGAGGAAAGATGCTTAGGTCATAGCAGCCTAGAAGCAGAGCATGTAACAGCACCTGAGAGAAAGGGGCAGGGACCATATAGAGACCTAAGGCCACAACCCCTGACCCCTCCAAACACATCCAGAAGTGTGCTTTACTGACCTCATGGGCATTTCCTAATCTGTTCAAGATGACATTGCAATGACAGTCACAGTGGGATACAGAAGACATTCATTGGTAGTTGGCAGCATCCTTTCCTCCATTTCCCATCGTAAGAGGACTGTGTTGATTAAGATCCCTCAAAAGGCAAACCCTGGTTTGAGGATTTGGAGGAGGGAAGATTAATTGGAAGTAACTCCAGAAAGCAGAATGCTGTGACTGGAATCCTTCCGCCTCACTTTTGTGTTGAAACTTAATCCCCCACATGATTGTACTTCGAGGTAGGACTTCGAGGAGGTGACTACACCAGGAGGCCAGGGCCCAGATGCATGGGATAATGGCCCTTACACAAAGTCATGCAGGAGTGGGTGCAGTCCTGCTCTTCTGCCCTGTGAGGACGCACTGTTCCAGCCTCCTGGCATCAGAGCACACAGCACGCTCCCCTCTGCCATGTGAAGACGTGACAAGACCTCCCAGACAGTGAATCTGCCCGAACCTCTGTCTTGGACTTCACAGCCTCCAAAAGTGTAAGGCAACATTTTTTAATAAATTACCTAGTCACGGTTTACTGCCGGGGATTTAGCTCAGTGGTTCCTGCA